CTACAGTGAAAATCTCTCCAAAAAAAAAAAAAAAGTTAATTCAACAACTTTAGAGCTGGTTTAGAGAATCTTAGAGTTGATTAGGGTCAACTTTGGCCAAGTGAAAAGAGCTTCTGACGATGGGTTTTGTAGGCTGGAAAGGTCTGTTTCTAAAGTCAGGCAGCTTGGATTTGGAACCCTGGCTTTGAGCAAATAATCTTGAGCCAATGACCTAACCTTTTTGAGGCTCAGTTTCTTCATCAGTGAAATGAAGATGATAATACTAACCTCAGAAACTGGTTGTGAGGATGTAGGCTTTTGAACCTTCTACCTCTGCCTTTTTTTTTTTTCACCTAGTTGTTTTACAATATTTTAGTTAAAGAAAGGGTTCCAAGGTTCAGAAATTTGAAAACCATTGTTGCACCCTAACATTCATGTTAGGGTTAGGGTGATCCAGCTAAACCTTGAATTGGTTAACCTTCTCCCAAGTGATCCCTATATTGACTTTTCTCCTATTTCAGAGAAACTGTGGTAATATAAAAAGTTCATTTGTCCAACAGAGATCATCATCTTGGAATTCATGAAATACAGCACCAGATTTTCTACCACACAAGGCATCCTTTTCCTGTCTTATGCCCACTCCTCTTCCCACTCTATTCCTTCAGAATTTTCTATGAAGCTGCGGAATAGCATGGAAGGCTCACCCTAAGGTTTTCCAAAATGCTTTCTTCTAAAATTGGACTGCATTTATATTTTCTCATATATGGCACATACTGAAAAGTTCTTGGCTTATTGGCCCTAGGAATGTCTCCTCCACTTTGGATCTCTTACCTTTCTGTGGATCAGCATTATTCTAGTAAGGAGTGGAGTTAAAGTCCTAAGGTGCAAAAAGTCACTTCCTGCTCTTTATGGGAGCAGAATGCAGACCCAGCATGAGAATGAACATGGACACCAGATACTTCTTGTGTTATGGGCTAACCATTCCACTGGCAACAGAGCTCACGCAAGGCATTTCCACGTGGACCTTACCACACTTTCTAATACTTTTGTTTGGTGCGGTACCAAAAGATTTTAATCTATGTCATAAAATATTTTGCTCCCTTTACTCAAGAGTCATTTTTCACTCATAACATCAAAATGAAATTTCAACTTTTCATACCCACATATCCAATTACTCATAAGGCAACACTTTATCTGTGGTGGAAAAATAAATTGTGTTCCACCTTTTTTTAAAAAAAAGTGTTTAATGCTTGTTTCATGTGAGTAATGTTACTGGTTGAAGATGTTTTTGTCTACATTATTTTTCCTTTGTTGTCAGATGAAATACGGGCAAAATTCAAATTTACTTATTTTTTTCCAAGTTCAAATCACCATGTCAATATAGCCTTGCATAAACAAATGTTTAGAGTATATCATCTCCCCCTCCCACTCCCCCCACCCCTGCTGGGTTTTGCCATAGGGTGTGATGGTAGAGGAAAAGTAAGAAATCTATCCCCCTCTAGGGATGACCATGCTGTAATCCCTTCTCCACTCTCCTCTGGAGATTTTGGGTGCACACACACACACACACACACAGCATGATTTTTAAGCCACTAGGTCCAGGACTATAGCTGCAGTTGGCCATGTGGGAGTCTAGCACCTTAACCACCACACCACCTACTGGTCCCAAGTATATCAGGTTTATTAGAAGGTTTTGTTTCTTTGTTTGAATGTTTACTGTTGATGGAGATTAGTATGTTATCTTAATAAAGGACAAGAATTAATGGATTGTAATACAAAAGGAACTTGACTTTAACACTTTTCTTATTTCCTTCTGACCCACACAAGCCTGTGCTTGGAAGAAGGTTAAAGAGTGTTAGTTCTGGAGATATAAGGCAATGGTGGAACAGCCACAGGATATTTTGGAAAGAAGGAAATGGCTTAGGAGTTGTAGTGCCACTGCTCCCCGACTTACTGCCCTGGTAAATCTGTAAGAAACTGAAGGAGAGCTGAGGGACCAAGGCAACTAAAGTTACGTTCTGAACTCCATCTTCTGTAAGAAACTGAAGGAGAGCTGAGGGACCAAGGCAACTAAAGTTACGTTCTGAACTCCATCTTCAGACTCCCAAAACACTCAGACAAGACTCCTGAAACACTCAGATAAGAAGCCATTTTAAATCTAAGGTGTGTCTTGGCGTGTCTAGGGACCACGACGACTAAAGTTATGCTCTATACTCCATCTTCCAGACTCCCAAAACACTCAGACAAGTAGAGGAGAGATTTTGTCACAGAATGACCAGGAACCACACAAAGGCACAAGAAATATGAGGAACCAAGGAAATATCTCTCCCATAAGTGAAAAGAGCAATCCTTCACCATCCACAGATAGTACAGTGTAACTCATGGAAATGTCTGATAGAGAATTTGGAATATTCATAGTGACAAAACTAAAGGAGATGTAAGAGGTGAGAGACAATGAACTCCAGAAGATGCAGGAGAAAAGAGACTAGTTCCAGGAAGTGAAGAAGTTTTTGAATGATCTAAAAGAGGAAATACACACCATAAAAAAGAATCAAACGGAACCATTAGAAATGAAGGCTACAATACAGAAAATCAAATCCTCCCTCAAAAGTGTGAAAGCAGATTCGTCCATGCATAAGATCAAATCTCAGATAGTGAAGGGAAAACCTCTGACCTAGAAAAAACAACCAAAAAACTGAGAAAATAACCCCAAAAATGAGAATATTATACAAGAAATTAAGTGTCCAAACATCTGAATAATCAGTATCCCAGAAGGTGAAGAAACTAATAAGGGCATTGATAATCTATTCCATGAAATCCTGGAAGAAAACTTTCCAAACCTAGAGAGGCATTCAAATATCCCAACCCAAGAAATACAAAGGACCTGTGATAGAATCAACCCAAGAAGATCTTCTCCAAGGCACATCATAGCCAAATTAGCCAAATCCACAGACAAAGACAAGATACTAAAATTGGCAAGATAGAAACATCAGGTTACTTATGAAGTTTATCCCATCAGGCTAACATCAGACCTCTCATCAAAAAATGCAAGCAAGGAATGAATGGGAAAATATATTCAAAGTGTTAAGTGAAAAACAGTTTCAACCAAGAATACTGTACCTGGCAAGGTTATCCTTCATATGGGAAAAAAAGATAAAAACATCAGATAAACAAAACCTGAAAGAATTTACCAACACCAGACCAGTTCTTCATAAGTTCTTTTTTTTTTTTAAAGAAATTAAGAGGTAAAGAATTTCTCCATAGAGTTTTTTTTTTAATTTTTTTAAGAACTCTTTTTATTTTTATTTATTCATTCATTTATTTTAATTTGACCAGAGAGACACTCAGAAAGAGAGAGAGAAAGAGAGAGAGAGAAAGCCACCAGGTCCAGGACTTGAACCATGGTCAGCCATGTGGGAGTATCCAGCGTCTTAACCACCACACCACCCACTGGTCCCTCTTCATAAGTTCTTAAAGGAGTGCTTTACCAAGAAAACTAAAGACACACATAAAGAAACAAGAGAACAAAAGGCAACCAAGAAAGTGACCAACTTAGGGACAAGAAATATCAATAATAACATTGAATGTTAACTTCCAGGATTTAAACAAAAAGATAGGACCACAGTAACATTGCAAATCTAACAGAAAAAAAAAAAGATTAATTACATAAGACTGAGCTGGGGAAATAGAAATTTATGACTTTTGAGTAAAACATTACTGTCTTTTTCTTTACTATGCTTTGTTTTCCCAATTTAAGGATTTTGCTTTCTTTTGAGCTATGAATAGGTTTAGTAATTTGTTAAAATGATTTTTCTCCTTATTTGTTTGTTTCTTTAAATGGAAACATTAACTTTTCTCCCTTCCTGACCCCTCTGTAATTGGAAAATATTTGGGAGTTGTCTTAATTTGTGGCAGAATGGCTATTTGCATAAGTTCAATAATACCTGCTGCCTTGAATCAGAAATTGGAAATACTCGTTATTGGAGAGGGCTTTGACTGGAATGTCATATCTGAAGATTAAACCAGAAAACTATGGAGCTAAGGTAAATCTCAAGTAAGCCAACAGAAGCTCTTGGAAAGGTGGCCTGGCACCATGAACACTTCTGCCTGGCAGGGAGGATTAGAGAAGATACATGAAAGAATCCGTACCATAAAATAACCTGAACTTTTCCAGTCCTACATTGTAATCAATAGAGATTGCAAAAGAGCAGCCACAACCAGAGCTTTATCTTGAGGACGATTTTGAAGGAAGAATGAGAGACTAATCTTTGCTAGCAGATGGTATATCACAGAGCACTTGGTAGGCAGGGCTGAATTGAGAAGGTTCATGTGAGACTTGTGTGCTGGGTGAATTGTGTGCTTTTCAATAGTCTGAGTAGTTGACATGTAAATATTTTCTCAAAAATATTTAAAACCATACTGTCTTCGTTATAGAGTCACAAATTATAACAAATACTCTGGTAATTATCTTCAAATTCAGTTTCTTCAAATTTTGAAAGTTGTTTATTAACTGTTTAAAAGCTATGGAGTATAAAGCAAAATTTTTTTGATATGTAAAGTAAATGTTTGTGAGAAAATGTAAAAATAAATAAATAAATGTTTAAAAAAAAAAACGAAGAAAAAAGAAACTGAAGGAGAGCTGAGGTGTGGATGCTTTCGTGGACGCTGTTTCCTCCTTTTCTATCACTATGTGTTCCTTCATCATCCCAGAGAGTGGAAAATAATATGCGCCACAGGAGGGCAACAGCTACAAAACAAAGTGTCTTCAAATTCTTCCGTCTAATAGGGAATGTGAAATGACTGCGCAGGCCTAAGGATGAGTACCAAAAACCTGTAATAAATGGAAGTTAAATTTTCCTTTGCATATTTTTATACCATCATTATAGCAATTTTCCTGAGATAAAAAGCTTTGAAAACATACTTTACAGATGCTTTTTTTTTCTGACAATGTTTACTGTCTCAGAGTACCGTTGCAATTTCTTACTTTTCTTGAGCTAAATGTACTCTATTTTCTCTTTTAGGCAAATATCAATATTCCAATGGGAGCCTTTCGGCCAGGAGCTGGGCAACCCCCCAGAAGAAAAGAATGTACTCCTGAAATGGAGGAGGTGAGGAGTACTTTAGCGGAGCTCGGCTCTGACTTTTCTCTTCAGAATCCTCACTAGAGGGGGACAGAGGAGAGGCAAAGGCCTGCTGCTCTCCAGGACAAGGGAGGGCAGAAGGCTGTTTGTCAAGGAACCAACACGTTTTCTTAGATGTCTTGCTCTGCCAACCACAAAACACTGCCTCTACTGTTACTTCAGCCAAATTTAAATACCTGGCATGGTAATTTGAAGATATCAGGTTTTCTTCTAGTGTGATGATTGACTGACAGACTGATTGTGTGTGTGTGGTATAGAGAACATGGCCTCTCAGACACTTTTAGTCTAGTAGTAGTCTTTAGAGTGTTAAGTTTTCAGTTGGGAGCTTTTATCAAACAGAGCAAGATGTATTTAGTATAGTTTCTAGCTTGTGAGGAACCCTTGTGGGAGTGCCGGAAAACCACCACCACCACCACCCCCCCCCGGAGGGATGGCCACAAGGGGATCTTGTGCACACATGCACTCGCGCCTGCCATGAGTTTAAGCCATTGAGTCCAGGACTCAAACCATGGCTGACTACATGGTAGTCCAGGGACATAGCCATTACACCAACTGCTGGTCCCTAAAGGATATTTTCCAAAGGAGTCTATCAAACTTCCATTTCTATATTTTTCCTTCTAATTCTTTACTTCTCCCCCAAACTCAAATACCTGGTCTGCTAAAATGGAAGCTAAAATTAATAATACATGCAATAAACAGAGAAGAGTTCCCCCTCAGAAGTTTATATTTCTCTCCCAATTGTGACTTTTATGATGAAACCTGGAAAGTCTGATTCTGAAAATAAATAAATAAATAAAATAAGGTTTTGGAGCATTTCATTAGCTCAAAATGAAATTAACTAAAGCCACAAAGCATAGCAATCTACATGTTTATCATTTGAAAACAGTAAAGGTAAAAAGGCTTTTTGACATTGAATAAAAAATTCTTGGTTTACTGGCCCTAGGATGCAGATGAAATTTTTGGTATCTGTCCCTAAAGAACATCTCTCACCATTTCAAAATTTCCTAATGAAACGTTGTCCTGCCTCTAGCCTTTTCTTCTTGTGAATATTCTTTCTGTGGTCCTGAGTTATGGGTTCCAGCCTCCTATCAAAGATTTTTGAAAGGAGGAGATTGAATATTTGAAAGATAGCACCAAGTTCTCGAATTTCAGTCATTAACGTCACCTTTGATGAATGAAAAATCTGAACACAGAAGTTGAAAAGACTTGGCTTTACCTAGCTGTTATGGCTGCAGATTCTCAAGTTCTGGTGCTGCTAACTTTGATGTTGAGTAAATCCATGGCCATGAGCTCTCTGTCTGGGATGTTGCTCAAGTATTTCTAAGTCTGTGTCTGCAAAATGAGATCCTCTCCAGTCCTCAGAGGGTTGCTGTGAGGAAAGAAAAATACCTAGTAGGTTTTTGATAAATTATTGTTCATTAGTTGATCTAATTATCAAATGTTCATCAAAGACTCCTGGAGCCTCCTATTGTTTTGAACGTTGTAAAAAAAAAAAAAAAGGTACGGGGGAGGTAGACAGGGTGGCATGGAATTCTTCCTACACCTCCATATATCTACAGTTAGAATTTTCTTCATGTACTTCCTCTTAAGCTGTGTCTGTCACTACCATGGCAGTCAATTGGAAGGTGGCTTGACCCTGTTTTCTCATTAAATCAACGGATCTAACAGCTGTCTTGGAGGCTTGCATCTCATCTTCTCTCTATAGGACAAATGACCTTTGGTTCTATGACTATTACTTCCTGCTACTCAAATATCTCAGGGAGCTGGGGACATACTTTGCTCTCACTTTTGCTTCGTCCCCAATCTGATGGTTTCAGCATTCTAAAATAGCCAATAACCGATACAGCTTGACTTGAAACTCCTACTTTATAACTGGCCATATGCACGAATGGTCAACTAGTATTCTTTGCAGGATAGAGAGTGAGGTATCCACAGAGATCCAGAGATCCTGGGAGTGTTTCTTAAACTGAGCCACACCTTTCTCATGGGGCTCATTGGGTGGGAGAAAGGAGCCAGGGATGGTCTTCTCTTACCATAAAAGGAGAAATGAACTCTCAGAATTTGTGGGGTCTTAGGGAGGGAAAAATCTAATGACTCAAGCTCTGGGCTGAACCTCAGAATAAGTTTCTCACAGAAATAACATTGTAAAAGGAGTACATAAGTGGCTTGACTACAAACAAGGTGGGTTAAGTAGGATTTTGTGGGTTAGCTTAAAGCCTCAGCAACCTTTTGTGGCATAGTTTAAAATAGGAAAATGGAACCTGAATTCAAAATAACTTATACATCCACATTTATTATGATCCAGTTTGATTGCTAGATATTTGGAATTGCTTACTTTCATAGATTTGAGATTTGTTGCCCAGCCTTGCAGCAAGATAAGTACTGTATAAAGTGGAGATCATAAATATACCATCCTTGAACAGAACAGGTCACCTCTATCACAGGCAGTATCTAAACTCAGAAGGGTTTTTGATCCTGACACCCTTTTGGATGTGAAGAAAAGATGTACTCCAGCAGGAAGCCAGGATGAGTACTTGGCCATCTGACAAGGCCTGTGAGCACTGGCGATGTCTCTGGCCCACCTATGGTCTTTAGCGTGTCCTTTGCTCTGCTCACGGAGCTGGAGTCCACCCTCTGTCCACTTGGCCTAGCCAGAGATTGGCAAGTGCTTGACACCGAGGACTTAAAGCCAATTCTTAATAAGCAGAACTGGTCTTTTCTATAAGACAAATGGCTGCTTGTTTGAAGAGGTATGAAGGGTATAATACAACCTCTACTAAGCCTTCCAGATCTCTTTTGACTTAAATACCATCATCCAGCCATGAAATATGAAATTGGGATTCAGAGGGGATGGCTACACCACAATCCCAATCCCTTTTCCTCCATTCTCCTTGGAGGAGTTTGGATACACATACATGCACACACGTCCAGCGTGATTTTCAAGCCACTGGGTCCAGGACTTGAACTGCAGTTAGCTAGGTGGAAGTCCAGCACCCTACTCATCATACTACCTACTGGTTTACATAGATAGGTATGTTTCCAGTCTTATATGCATGAACACACACACACACACACACACACACACACACACACACACCCAGCATGAGTTTCAAGCCTCTGAGTCCAGTCCAAGACTCAAACCATGATCAGCCACATGGGAGTCTAGCATCTTAACCACTATGCCACCTGCTGTCCCCTTCACCTGGTCTCTTTACAAGATGCAAACATATTATTTAATTCTGGTCCAGCCACTTAGTAGGCCACTGTGTGGCCTTGGGAAGCTTCTTAACCTTCTTGCGCCTGAATTTCCTCAATTATTAAGTAAGAAAGGGGTAAGAGATAGTAGTTCTAGACTTATAGGGTTGATGTGAGGTAGCAGTGAAAGGATTTTATTATTATTATTTTAGTTTTTGCTGTGAGGTGTGTGTGCTTGCCAGAGAGAGAGAGAGAGAGAGAGAGAGAGAAATCACCCCCTAGGGATGGCCACTCTGCAATCCCTTCTTTTCTATTTTCCTCTTGGGATCTTGGGCATGTATGCATATGCGCTGGGCATGATTTTCAAGCCACCTGTTCTGAGATTCAAACCATGGAGTCTGGCACATGGGAATACAGTACCTTAACTTCCATACATATGCTGGACCCCATTTGGTGTTATTAAAATAACATTTTCAGTGTTTGAGCATGAATGAGCAGGTCAAGTAATATTGTTCCCACACAGGAGAATTTAGAGAAAAACTCAGTAGGGCATTTGGTAGTGGAGAGGGAGATGAAGGTGAGGTGGCTGGAAAGCATGTCACCATTTTGCCAAGTTTTACAAATACTCTGATCCCTAAGGAAGCATTTGCCTTTCTAATAGTCATTCCTGAAACTGGGGATGCCACTGTGACTTACAAGACTTCTCTCACATTCTTTATCTAAACCAAAGAATATCTTCCATGTCCCTCGATTCAAATAATCTACCAACTAAATTTAAAAAGAATGTACTTGTTAGCCAAGTGGGGACATGTGGAACTCTGTTTGTTTGTACATTAATTTACTATAATTCTTTTCTTTTAAAGATTCTTTTTCTTTTTTCTTCCCCCCCCTTTTTTTGCCATAGGGTACATGTGCTTGCTAGAGAGAGACAGAAAGACAGGGAAGTGAGAAATGAACCTCCTGGGGGGATGGACCACATCACAATCCCTTCTTTTTTTTATTATTCTGTCAGGATTGTGGACATGCATACACATATGCACCAGTGTGCTTTTCAACCTGCTGGGTGTGAGAATCGAACTGTAGAGCTGGCCATATGAGAGCCAGTGCCTTTACTACCCTTAACCACCATGCCACCTGCTGGCCCTCTAATTCTTTTAATAACAATTACATAGAAGAAATAGATTCTAATTCTCATTGTATTTTTATTTATTTATTAATTTATTATTATTTTAAATTGGTATAGGGCATGTGAGCACACCAGAAAGAGATGAGAGACAAAAATGAGAGGGAGGGAGGGAGCGAGGGAGGGAGGGAGGGAGGGAGGGAGAGAGAGAGAAGGAAAGTTAGAAAAGTAAGTTTCTGGGGCTTAGACTCAAACTGTAGTCAGCCATGTGGGAGTCCAGTGCCTGCTGGCTCCATTCCCATTATGTTTTAAAAAGATGAGCAAGATTCCATTAACCTCCTTCCATTAACCCCCATTTCTAAGTCAATATCACAAGTCTAATTATTAAATATATCTACTTTTAATTTTGCATTATATGTGACCTTATCAAATCAAGTGCTAAAAGCCTTCCCTTGATAAACAAAAATCAAAATAAAACAAACAAACAAACAAAAAACCAACCACAGTATGTGGAGGTTTTTAACTTGAAAGGAAGGTGCATAAATATTAAATGTTATCATCATTAATCTGGGCATGTTGAGATTGCAAATCGTAGCACATAGACATATAAGTACAGATATTGGCTTTATGTGTTAAATGTGCTAATATAGCTCGTTTTGATATTACAAAGATAGTGAATGTGACTTATATGGGAATTTACCAGAAGGAATCAGAAACATTTCTTTCCATGCTTCTTTATTAAGGTCTACCCACCTAACAACCGTGGGAACATTTATAAGCGAGGAAATGTTTTTCATTTCACCAGTACACATATTAAAAACAACACTTTATAACCTTGTTAAAAATTTCTTTTTGGAAGCCCAGCAAAGAAAGTTTGGAATACCTAATCTTTCAAAGGGACTTTTTTCTTTGCTTCTTTTCTTCCTTCTTTCCATCTCCCTTCCTTCCTCCCTCCCTCCCTTCCTTCTTTCTTTCCTTCCTTCCTTTCTTTCTTCCTCTTTCTTTCAGTTTTGCTATAGGGGCACTCACCACACCAGAGAGGAAAAGTGAGAAATCACCCCCATGGGGGATGGTCACACTGCAGTACCTTCTCCATTCTCCTCTCGGGATTTTGGGCATGCATGCACACGTGTGCACCCAGTGTGATTTTCAAGTCACCAGGTCTGGAACACAAACGGAGCAGTCAGTCATGTGGGATTCAGCTACCTTAATCTCCACGCCACCTACCGGCCCTGAAGGGGATGTTTTATAGTTTTAATTATTGCTTCTAAATGTTCATTTTATAAATGATGAATGCAAGCACGTTATGAAAAGTAGCTGATCCTATAGCTCTGTACATTGACCTGGGAAAACAATATTTTCCAGATATTTACAACAAGCAGTCTACATTGAATTGCTTTATAATTTACTGTGGGTGACAGTGTCAGCTATCTCATCAGCACTATACCAGATTCAAAGAAAATGACTGTAGGAAAAACCATTAGCCCTTAGTAGAAGAAAAGCACTTTAATATTTTATATTCCTGTGCATCCCCTCCAATAAGCAATTTAAAAACATTTCTATAAAGGACGTGTCTACCAAGCAATCTCTTAGAGTTTGGAAAAGATTGAACATTTTCTTCCTTTAGGTTCTAACCAATTGAGTACTAGAGATAGGAGCCAGAAGGGAACTAACACACAGTATCAGCTTTATGACCTAAATGACAGGGCTGTCGAGTTTAGCTGGGGGCACATGGGGCTTCACTGTAGGCAAACACAAGTTTTATTCCTTCCCCCTGAACTGTATTGGTTCAATACAGATTGTTGGCTAAGCAGATGGAGCGCAGCCAGTATCGCACTGGGGACTGTGTTAGTTGGAGTCTTCCAAGAAGCAGACCCAAAGATGGAGTTAGACGAGCGAAATATTTATTGGAGAAAACACTCCTAAGGAAAAAATGGGAGAGAGCTATAGGAAGCTGAGAGAGCTGTCAGTTATGAGTCAGGGGAAGGAGAGAGGGACAAAGGGTGGGGCGGAAGCATCTCAGACCTTGGTATTGTTCTTGTTTTTTTTTTTTTTTGGAGAGATTTTCACTGTAGGGCGCGTGTGCTCGCCAGACAGACAGAGAGAGACATAGAGACAGAAAGCGAGAAATCACCCCCCAGGGGGGATGGTCACCCCGCAATCCCTTCTCCTCCATTCTCCTCTCGGGACCTTGGGCACGCACGCACATGCGCCTGGCGTGAGTTTTAAGCCACCGGGTCCAGGACACGAACCGCGGTTGACTACGTGGGAGTCCAGTGACATAGCCATTACGCTAACTGCTGGTTCCCCACCTTGGTGTTGTTCTAAGGCCAGTTTTCCAGCTCCTCTCAAGAGTTTATGTCTCCCAGGAATGGGCCCGCCTTAGGATTCCTCTGGCAGTCAGTCATTGGTTACGAGCAGCCGTGGGAAGCGTGACCTCAGTGCGGTGAGGGATGAATTTCAAAGCAGCTAGGACTGTCATTCAGTTACTCTCCCTATGGTAAACTGATCCAAGGGTGCAGGGTGTGTTCTCAAGGCTGACACTGATCCAATGTTCCTCCAGTTCCTTCTCCTGAAGCTATGGAGAATGCGTGCCCTCCTCACTTCTAGCAAATAAGAGGAATGGATTAACCAGCAACTGCCATTTTTAGTAATAAATTGGGATCACACCCAGCAATGGATCTTACTGTTTTATCATCATGTGATATGTGTGTTTGATATATGAACTAGAGGCCTCGTTCTGTTACCATGGTACATTCTCAGAAATAACCCGTGAAACAGGCTGGTGTGCCACTTTACAAGGCATTGGAGAAACCACAAAAAAAAGTATGAGATGTGAGTCCTACTCTAAAGTTGTGACAAAAATCTAACATTCAATCTTGGGAAGTTTAAAGGACTTCCGCAGGAGTGGAGAGCTGGGCCTCCTCTGTGGCTCCCTCCCATTCTGCCTCTTGACAAATGTCCATTTTTGCTTGTTCATGCTGCCCAAAGAGGTCATTGGAGCAAAGGCTGGCAGCCACTGCACCCCAAAACAAAACTCTGAGAACTCCTGGACGGCATTATTTTTCAGCGCCAGCTATGCACTAACATTCTGCACATCTCTGCTGATAGGCAGATGGTGATCCTGTGACACCAGATTATGTTTGATCGTGTAAGATGCTCTCTTGGAAATGTAAATCCTTCTAATTGGTGGTAATGTTTATTAGTTATCAGCCATTGACTAGCACTCTAGTGTTTTATGAGTTACATAGACATTACTTGTTTTCTGCTTCCTACTTTATTCCACTTTCCTTTATATTCTTTAGGACATCTATTCATACTCTGAGGCTGTCACAACCACACAAGAGAAAATTGCTCTGTTAGAATCACATACTGACATTATTCTTGCTTTAAATTTTTTTCTGTGTGCCTGTGACCCAGAGAGAGCAAATGTCTTTTTTCGGTGAGTTGAATTCTTTATTTTTCTTCAGGGTGCTCCTCCTACCTCAGATGAGGAGAAGAAACCGCTTCCAGGAGCAAAGAAACTTCTGGGACCTGCGGTCAACCTATCGGAGATCCAGAATATTAAAAGTGAACTGAAATATGTCCCCAAAGCTGAACAGTAGTTGAAAGAAAAAGGTGAGTGAAAACTATGTCCTTTGTCTCAAAAAAGACCACCATAAAATGGTTTAAGGAAGCCTTCCACAGCAGGGGTCTAGAATTCCGGAAGCATTTATTAAGGACCAAGGACCTTCAATTTAGGCCAATATTTCTGATGTACTTTCCTGGAAAAGCCAAGCTTTGGGGCCTATCTTACTCCATAACTAGTCAGTGCGCCATTGAGAATGTTTGTCTGTCACCCCTTTCTTTCTTTTTTTTTTTCCTTCTTTATTTTTATTTACATTTTTAATACATTCAATCACATTATTTAGCTTACAAGGTGGTCATTCCAATATGTGAACATTTCTCCCTGGTCGAGTTGATCAAAATTTAACAACACTACCTCTGTCATCCCTTTTCTGATCATCCTACTTGGTCAGGGAAGAATGTAGCTGGGAGAGGAAATGTTTGGGAAAGGGCTTTGAGGAACTTTTGATCTTGGGGGTCTAGGGAACCCTCCCTCATTCTGTGCCTCAGTTTTCTTACCCAGATCCCACAAAGAGTGAATTATTACTGACCTGGAGGATCCAAGAGGCAAGGAGCTGGGCAGGTTTGGAAGTATAAAGGGACAGAGAGCCCGGAGTTCAGGCCTTGGAACCCATGTTTGTGTAAGGCAGACCAGGACCTTGTAATGACTCTGGGTGTGGATGGGCAGGCATAAGCTCAGAACTGTACATGCTGCCTGATGAGGCATTGCAAGCAGGGCTTGTGACCTTATTTTCATTTTAATTGGATCCATTCAATAATGATCCCCTGGTGAGGGCTCAACCCACTCTCCATCTGCAGAGCTGGCTCCTGTGAGCCGAGATGAAAATTCTGCCAGCAGGGGGAGTGTGGAATTGGCTAAAGTCCTAGCTCTTTCTCCTATGAGATCCTGGGAGCAAATCTACCCTTAATCCAGCATTACTAAACTTCAGCTTGCATGGTCTATTCCGTTTCTTCAGCAGAAATTTAAGTCTTGAGGAGAGGAATCTATACTGGAAACAAGAGATTTTTATCTGGTTGACTGTCCACTTGTTCATTCATTTATCGATATTTGTCCATTGGCCATTTATTCAATTAACATTATGTTATGTGTTAAACAGTAGAAACCTTAATCACCATGTGCCAGATACCACGAATATGGAACATCCCAAAGTATTTTATCCATTTTTTCTTTTAGGCATTGTAATAATTATTGCCTTCATTTTTGAAATGTGTCTTAGATTGATTTTCCCCATCTATCATGCATCCTAAAAGGGGGATTTGACTTCAAAGTTAATGCTGCCACCTACTTGTTACACTGCTTTAACCCCTTTCTCCCACAGTGCTTATACTGGGGTGTCAGAAAAGTCATGACGCATTTTTGCACAGAAACAGAAAAATGGAAACAAGAGATTTTTATCTGGTTGACTGTCCACTTGTTCATTCATTTATCGATATTTGTCCATTGGCCATTTATTCAATTAACATTATGTTATGTGTTAAACAGTAGAAACCTTAATCACCATGTGCCAGATACCACGAATATGGAACATCCCAAAGTATTTTATCCATTTTTTCTTTTAGGCATTGTAATAATTATTGCCTTCATTTTTGAAATGTGTCTTAGATTGATTTTCCCCATCTATCATGCATCCTAAAAGGGGGATTTGACTTCAAAGTTAATGCTGCCACCTACTTGTTACACTGCTTTAACCCCTTTCTCCCACAGTGCTTATACTGGGGTGTCAGAAAAGTCATGACGCATTTTTGCACAGAAACAGAAAAATATGTCACGACTTTTCTGACAACCCAATAGATAGACTGCAGACTTTCTGTGGGTATTGAGGTGAAATCTTCTGCTCCTGTAAATGGCAGAGGCAAGCAGTGAGGCATCCTCTATACAGAATGGAGAATAGAATGTTCTGTGAGACAACCCAACACATCGTAGGAATGTTATCTGTGTCACACGTACATGGTATTATTAGGATATCTGTGAGTTAGTTCTGCCAAAAAGATTTCTTTATAGTCTAGAGAAAGAGAGGAGCTGTTTTGAGTTTAAAACAAAACAAAACAAAACAAAACAAAACAAAACAAAACAAAACAGGATCTGGTGTCTTCAGCACAGTTACATAAAAGAGCAAAGAAGTAAGAATAAGACAGAGTGGATTCTACAACCATAGAATGAATTCCAGGAACCTGGATGGGGATGAAGTAATGATTTGAGCAGGAACTGACCTGACATGTGGCTACATGTGTTTGTTATTATTTATGACAGAATGGAACAAATTGATGACTGAGTATCATACTCAGTACTGCTTGTGTTACACCAAGCTGAGATAAAATTTTCCAATATGTTTGGGCTAAAGCTGCAGAACTTCTTTGTGAGGAAGCTCAGAGAAGGGAAATTAACTTTTTGTAGTATTTATCATCACCCAACCAAGGCCATTCAGTTAAACACATGAATTTTTAATGCAGACTTTAAAGGTTTTGCTTTTAAGAAAGTCATGTCAACCTAAATTTAACCCCAGTTTCAGTTTAAAAAAAAAATTGGCTCTGAAGTTTCGAAGAAATGCTGTTTTAAAATGAGCTCTGAAAGGAATTTGCACTGTTATGCTGAAGTGGGGTTGATTTGGTAACCTTGGATATACGGTTGCGAGGAACAGGGAACAATACTAACTCAATGAATGCTGAAAAGGTACCAGAGGAAGGAGAACAAATTTTTGTTACTTCATTTTCTCAGAAAAGACATTAATGATCCTCCTTTCCTAAACAAATTCTAAAGTAAAATCACTCAGAGAGACTCATTTGTCCTTATTCTTGCAGGAATGTGAAAATTTAAGTTGTTAGGATAATTTGTCTAAATTCCAAATGAGTACATTGTTTGAAGAAATGGCATTTGTTTCTTGTAGAGAAGGAGGTAAACTGGCTTGCTTTTAACTTATCTGTTATTCTACTGCAAATATGTCTGAAATTTTGAGACTTCCATGGTCATGGTCTATTATCACAAGGAGAAAATTTCTTAACATTGATTGATTCAGTGAACTCATAAGCAGTGAACAGCCTGGACCAGCCATCACTTAACTCCTCACTGGTTGGATTAATTTCCTCCTTCTTGGGCCACTGCTTTGCTACCTAACCTCATCCCTTGCTGTCTAATTATTTGATCAAACCAATCATTGATTTGAAGATTGAGTAAATAAGTCCATAGTCTATGTCCATAGTGTCAAACCCTGGGGTTCAAAATCCACATTATAACTGTTATAATACTATAGACATATAAGACAAAGCAGCATCTCCTTTGAGCCAAAATCAGTGCCACCTTTTAAGTGGGATTTCAGGTTCTTTCTATGCCCTATGTCATGGCTAGAATTGTTCACAAAAATTGATTAGAAATGTTACAGAACAAGAACCAGAAAGTCTAATAACTAGCCCATTAGGAATCAGGAATCATGGCTGTGAAAAGGGATTTATAGCCTGGACTTAGTCAGGAACCAGACTAGGCAACACAGTGATTCAAGAATTAGACAACAGTTCAGCGACTGAAGATATCCTGTTTATGACCCACTAACAAGTAGGCAGTATAGATAATCAGTGTTATGACTTACAAAAGGGAGAATTCATGATAATTTGGGGTTGGCAACAATTTGAAGGAAATGGTGGGAATAAATGGTTTAAATAGAGGCTCAGGGACACACTCTGGACATAAGGAATATGCACAGCATCATTAATAGACCCAGTTGGTGAGACTAAAGAGCTCCAGTAGGCCAATACTTGAAACTTCTGGGGCAGAGCAAAATAAGACCCTATGACCACCTACTCCATCTCTTTTTCCAGCATTAAAAGAACTCAATGATAGCAGAGAATTGGAGAGGAACAAAATAAGTCTCAATTACAAGAAAATGAATTGATTAACAAAGGCAGAACCTAAGAATAACTCTACAGTTATACTAACGAATACAAGATAGCAGCAATTGAAAGCTCTGAGACCAATGAAGCACTAAAAAAATTTGTCATTCTGAAGTTGCAGAAAATTTTTTTCTCTGTTGGACATTGCACTGTGGCCTTGTGTTATGTGGCAGTCAGACTTTGTGATTACATACTAGAGTCTCAGAAAAATGCAAAATTTTAGTGATTCAAACACTGAAACAATTCACTTGAAATTAATCCCTATTTTCCATTAAGAACTGATGAAAGTCCTTGCATTTTTGCATCAGAAGGTCTTTTTAGGTCAACCAGCAAGCCTTGAACCATACTTTGAGAAATATTGCTGTAGGACAATGAATGAGAGCGAGTTGGAATGATCTGCAACTCCCTTGTACCCATATGCAGTCCCATAATCTTAAATTGTTTCTATTCCATACTCCAAATTGGCTAACCAGGCTTGATTCTGGATTTCATAGACTTGAAAGGAATCATTATAATGCCCTATTGGGAGAGTTGTGTCCTTGTCTTAGTCTGCTTAGACTGCCATAACAAAATACCATAGAGTAGGTGGCTAAAATAACAGACATTTACTTCTCACAGTTCTGAAGGCTAAACGTCTGAGATCAGGGTGCCAACATGGTTGGGTTCTGGTGAGGGACCTTTTCTTGGCTTGCTGACATCGGTCTTCTAATGTCTTTTCCTCCTCTTTTTTTTTTTTTTTTGCCATAGGGCACATGTGCTCACCAGAGAAAGAGAGAGAGAAAGAAAGAACCAATCATTGATTTGAAGATTGAGTAAATAAGTCCATAGTCTATGTCCATAGTGTCAAACCCTGGGGTTCAAAATCCACATTATAACTGTTATAATACTTTAGACATATAAGACAAAGCAGCATCTCCTTTGAGCCAAAATCAGTGCCACCTTTTAAGTGGGATTTCAGGTTCTTTCTATGCCCTATGTCATGGCTAGAATTGTTCACAAAAATTGATTAGAAATGTTACAGAACAAGAACCAGAAAGTCTAATAACTAGCCCATTAGGAATCAGGAATCATGGCTGTGAAAAGGGATTTATAGCCTGGACTTAGTCAGG